TGTCTGCGTGTATTGCCTGCATGTAGGTAAGTGCACCTGTGTCGGGCGATGCCCGTGGAGGTCAGAAGAGGCTGTCAGATCCCCCGGAACTGGAGTTACGGACAGTTGTTAGCTGCCATGTGGGTGCTGGGATTCAAACCCGGGTCTTCTGCAAGAACATTCAATGTTCTTAACCTCTGAGCCATCTCTGCAGCCCCCCTGTTGTGGGTTTTTAATCTTCAGAATTGTAAGAGAACAACTGTTGTCGTAAGCCAGAACGTGGTATTATTTTACAGCGGCCACAGGAAGCTACGCTGGGGTAATTGAGGGGCTCCATCGCCCCACGCCCCACCCTGTGAGAGAGCAGGGAGGACATGTATCCATGACCCCTCATGGGTAGGCCAGTGTCGTCGGCCTCTGTGAACGGCCTGGAACATCTCAGAGACCAGAGGGACCTAGGGTCACGGAAGTGGCAGGTTTGCCACACGGGGTCATCCAGGGTTCTGAGGGAGAAGCTGAAACTGTCAACAGGGTACAACCAGTACTTGGAGGTAGAGACTGGCTGCCTGTCATGGTCCTAAGGGACTGTGTCCCATGGGGAGACCAGGCATGAGTGGCTTTTCAGCAGCCAGCTCAGCACTTTCTGCTGGGCAGGCAGGCAGCCCTCCCGCTCCTCCTCTGAGGGAGGGGCGAGAGAAACCGATGACTGGGTTGGTATTGCTTTGGTCCTGTGGAGAGACAGCTGGGTGCGGCATCTGACCTAAATGTGTCACCGCGGGAAGGAAGCCAGCCCACATTATCCAGCTCTGGGTTTCATCATTTTGGAGAGTGCTTGGCCTTGCAGGGAGCCATTAGCTGAGGGAGAAAGAGCTCATGGAGAGAAAGAAACCCCGGCTGGATTTCTATGCTTAGCTATCCATGTGACCAGGAAAAGGCGGCAAGCTCTTGAGGGTTTCTGCTGGGATTGGACAGGCTGACTTGCTGGGCTGACAAGGGCTGGAGTGGACCTGCCCCCAGGGACCAAGCACCCAATAGTTAGGGAAGGCTGGTTCCATGCCAAGCTGAGCTGCCGAGGTGCAGGGTAGAGGAGAAGCACTTTGTGCTGTTGTCAGGCTGTTTCCCAGCCCTGGGGCTGAGAAGTGCCATGAGGGGCTGAAGGGTGTTTGTCAGGGCGACGCAGAGTAAGAGAGCCTCGGCATCTCGCCAGCACCAAGTGCTACGCGTCCTGCCCATCTTAGGACTGGGTCTCTGCATCCACATGTGTTCACCTCTGTCCCAGCCAGCTTGGCTGATCCTCTGCTATGAATGGAACCTGGTGATGAGCTTTCAGGAAGGCAGAGAGATAGTCAGGGGAGGCCAGTTAAGGAAAGCCTGATTTCCTGTGTCCGAGCAGCGTGTGGGTGCTGGTAGAGCTGCCTTGTTCTCTACGTGGGCTGGGATCACAGAGAGGATGGGGGTGTTAGGAGTTCAGATAAGCAGACAGGGAAGTGTCAGGCCCCCAGCCTTGGTTCTTCTCACTCAGGGGCCCTTCCCAGCAATGCCAACAGCGTTGGGTTCCCCGGCCGTTTATCCCCTGATGGAGACAGATGATTGCAGCTCGGTCCACCCACACCTGGTAATTTCATTTAATACTTTATTATTTTTATTTTATGTGTATGAGCATATTGCCTGCCGGCATGTAAGTGCACCCGTGTCATGCAATGCCCACAGAAATCAGAAGAGGGTATTGGAGCCCCTGGAACTGGAGTCAAGTTTGTTAGCCACCATGCAGGTGCTGGGAACCCAACCCAAATCCTCTACAAGAGCAGTCAGTGCTCTTAATCACTGAGCCATCTCTCCATCCTCTTTGTTCTTATGTTTTTTAAGATTTATTTTTGCCAGGCATGGTGGTGCACGCCTTTAATCCCAGCACTTGGGAGGCAGAGGCAGGTGGATCTTTGTGTGTTCAAGGCCAGACTGGTCTACATAATGAGTTCCAGAACAGCTGGGACTACAAGGAGACCCTGTCTCAAAAAAGACAAAAAAAAAAAAAAAGATTTATTTTTATCTATATGTATGTACATGTACCTGTGTGAGGTTATATGCATCAGGTTATATATGCATCAGGGAAACTCCACCCAAGCATCGTGAGGGGGACCACAGACTCCCTTCCCTAAGCCATCACCCCATAATCAAAGTCAAGGGAGAATATGTAAGCACCTCCCCACATGTGTTAGTTAGCTCCTGGGATGCTGAGGGCGTCTAGTGAGCACACCCCAGGGCTCTGCTCCTAATTCCACCCTGCACTGTGTCTGTGCCCTGTGGGACATGGTCAGCAGGCTGAGGAGCTGGCCTTAGTCCTCAGCCTCCTTGCTAGGCTTGATGGCTCTGCAGAGAGCCTAGCTAATGAGCTAAGTGGTACTTCCCTGCAGAATTGGCCTGGCATCCTCTGGCCCCCTTAGGGATAGCTTCTCTGATGGGGCCCAGCAGATGGAGGCATGGTACCCCAGTACTCTGCTAAGCCAGCAGACTCCAGTACTCGGCAAGTCTACGTGTTTGGAAGGTTTGCTGACCTTTGGCTTTGGCCTCTGCCCTGGTCCATCATGACTACTCTACTTAGACAGCATCCCTAGGTGTCTGGTACGGTTCTCCTAGACCCAGTTAGGTATGCTGTACCGACCTTGGCCTGAACCTCAGGGTCTCAGGCTTGGCCCTGTGTCCTCAGGTGAAGTGAAGTGGCCAGGCCAGGACAGGAAGCCACTGGGTCACTCTGAACACCTCCTATCCTACCCATAAAGAGGGCTCCAGGCTAGCATGGACCTCACCTTGCCCACTAGCATGGAGCAGCTGCCTCTCTCTTGGAGCCTGGCCACATGTTCCTTCCCCCAACCCCAGGTTGGGAAGATTGAATTGGTTCTATGCCTTTGCCTCAGGAACATCTTTCAGTACAGGGCAAACGTGGCTTTTCCTACAGACACAGCCCTCCCTAAGGCTCAGCTTGTTAACCGTAGGACTGACACATCAGCTGGACTTGCAGCCACCACAGGCCACAACCTGGGCCAACTTGGGCATAGACACCCTCAGCCGGGGTCGGACACCAAGTTCAGTCCACACAGAGCCGTGACCTTGGCTCTGGGGCTGTTCTGGAATTTCCTCTGCCACCTGCCTGAGGCTATGGGGGCAGGGTAGGTAAAGCTGGGTATAAGCACAAGCCCTGCCTCCACAGGACAGTCCTGACAAGTGACAGGTGACTGCCACATCATCTCAGGAAGCCCGAGCTCCGCATGAGACATTCTTGCCCTCTCGTAATAGGGATGCACTATCTTAGCTGGTTCCCTGTCAGCACTGACAGAGTTCATGACACCCTATCCAAGAGGCCGCCCTCCCCCACCTCCGTGTTTTCTTGGCCTTGGAAATGGCTGATCAGCCATAGGGCTGGGGAGCTGGATGTATCCTGAGATCTGTCTGCACTGTCCCTGCGCTTGCAGAGGTCTCCCTGGCTGTGAGCCCTCTCCCCTGGTAGCCCCAGGTGCTGAGAGCCCAGAGGAGACTGTGGCTCCTTGGGGTGAACTGGCAATCTGTGACCCAAGTGGTAGGACCCTGAGGAGGCATTCCCTATTGGTCATTGTTCCCTGATGACCATTACTGTAGTAAGTGGGCAGAGCTGGGCAGAACTGGATCTAGAGGGACGGTTTGGCATGAGACGGAGTGGCAGCAATCCATGAGGGTTGAGCCAGTGGAGCCCTCCCAGACCAAAGCCCTCCACCGTAGCTGTTTGCTACCAGTCCTGGTCCCGGGCTGCATCTTAAAGCAGGCCTTGACTACCCGAGCCAACTGTCTGGGCTGAGACCCTCAGACTGCCACTCTGGCCTGTAGCCCCCACTTCCTCCTCATTCCCCCACAGCCTTTCTGCGGTAGGAAGAGCCCTCCAAGCCCCTTAGGTGTGTGGCCAGCCCCGTCTGTGGCCTTGCTCCTCTCTGCTTGAGCCTTACCCTCACTGCTCCTACAAGCATATTTCTATTCCTGCTGGGCTTCAGGACTCCTCAGAATAAGGCAGAGGACTGCCACTTGACGTGCTCTTCTGGCCAGGCTCGAGCAGCCAGGGATTCCACCAGGAGCTAATTTCGCAAAAGCATTGTGCTGAGGGTGGCGGCCCTTCCCCACCTTCAACCCTAGCTGTGCTGAGTGACCCTGAGTGTGATGGAAGAAGAGGACAGGAGGGTGCTGCCAGGGACCCGTCTTCCGGGCCGGCGTGGGAACAAGCCTTTGTTTTCATGGGCTGTTGCATGAATGAGTTCCCGTGAAACAAGGAGGGTCGTTCTGAAATGACTGGTACCCCATGCCCTGACATCTGCAGATGAAGGCCACTACCCTTCCAGCACCTGGCACCTCTATCCTCCAAGCTACCAGACCCTTCGTTCTTTGAATCCCGCACTTGCCTGCCCCACCCAGCACCCCTCCCGCAGCAGTCTGCCATGTTGCTCTTTAGTTACACCCAAGGCTCCACTTCACTCTGACCTTCTTGCGGTCGTTCAGGAGTGTCCCGTCCTCTTCCCAGACCCCATCTTGTCTCCAGGTCCTTCAGCACCAGGGTGACTCGCCTCTGTTCTGCATCTGGCTCCTCCTGGAGCCTGTCTGGCACAGAGGGGTTGACTCGGTATAGGTGGTGGCGCATACCCTGGGGTGCCCAGTGTGGCCATGGCTTTGGGGAGATGGCTTGTGTGGTTTTATTTCGCACCATTACTGAGCGTAGTTTAAAAAACACCCTAACCCTTGCTTTGCCCCAGTCTTGCCTTAGCTGAGTAAGAGGTTAGATCCTCTACGTAGTGTGTACCCCAAAGAAGGGGTAGAAAGTCTGCTGTCTCTCTCACAGACAGCAGACAGGGACCAGAGCGTGCCTTCCCTCCGAGCACTCTGCAAACCCGAGGTCAAGTACTTGGGTCCCTTACAGAGCAGAAATCTGTCTGCTGTTGTGAGTTGCACAGTTTTATCAGAGGGGACAGTGGGCATGAGTGCTGATCACCTATCTGTTCTCTCTACAGAGGAGGAGCTCCGGAAGCTTCGAGAAGAAACCAACTCAGAGATGCTGCGGCAGGAACTGGACCGTGAGCGGCAGCGGCGGATTGAACTGGAACAGAAGATGCAGGAGGTGCTGAAGGCCAGGTAACTCCTGAATTCATCTTTTCCTGTTACTGTGACAGTGTTCCTGAGGCTGGTACTTATCAAGAAAAGAGGTTTATTTAGCTCACAGTTCTAGAGATTCAAGAACATGGTGCTGGCATTGGCTCAGCTCTGGTGAGAACTCATGACATTTGGCATTATGGCGGGAGACTGTATGGGAGAGAGAGAATAGCTAACAACTTGGTGGGAACCAATTTCAGGGTTCCAGAGAACTACATTAATTCCTTCCCAAGGTGGCTCCCAGGACCTGAGAAACTCCCACCAGGCCCCACCTCTTACACGTTCCCTCTCCTCTCTGTCACCACACTAAAAACTGGGCCTCTAGCGCTTGAGAGACTAACCATGGCCACACCACGGTGTGTGTCCTCTTCTTGATGCCAGGGGTCCTGGAGCCCCTGCTCAGATCCCTGACATGCTCATGGGCCAAGAGTGATAGGAACCAACTCATCTGAGGAGCATCTGCTCTTGGTCCAAGAGGGGCACAGGTGAGTTGTGTTGTTGGTCTGATCTGACTTCTCAGGTTTAAGTCCTGCCTAGGCCTACCTAAGCTGTGGTATTGGAAAGTGGCCTACTGGGATATGGGAAGCCTAGTGTGAGTGTTCACGTCACCACCCAGGCCTGGGCGGAGAGCTATGACTAAGAGGGTCTGACTGGGAACCAAAGACCAGACCCCAGAACCACCTCTTGCCCCTCAGACTTGGCCAGAAGATGCCCCCATCCTGTGTTCCCTGTCCCTGTCCTCGTTGCCTGGCCTCAGAGGACTGGCTGGGCCTCTTGGGACTTTGTGGGGATGCTGAGTGCCCCACCCCACCTGGTGTTTCTCTATACTCCTTCCCCAACTGCTCTGCGTCCTGAACAGAGGCTTCTCTGCCTCTGCCATCTCAAGATGGTGCCCCGAGCACCCCCAGCCTCCCCAGCACCCCTACAGTGTGCAGCAGCCTTAGAATTGTGTGTTGAGATCACACCCTCACCCTCACAGGCTCTTCCTGGGGATGATGGTATCGCCTCAGCTTCTGCAGGGGATGTTTGCAGTGACAGCTGTGTCCTTGGAATGAGGGCTCCTGTCAGGGTCAAGCTGCCCCTGGACACCCACACGGTCCTTACTCATCCACCCCTCTGGCCACCCTCATGACCACTGCCTCTGCTTCTGTTAGCTGTAGACATGTCAGTCCAGAGCAATACTACAAACTACAAAACCAGACTGGGCACTGGGTCACTCTGCACAGCATCTGTACTGTGACCTGGAGGATGAGGCTGGGGACTCGGGCCACTAGCTGGACCCCAGCCTCCCTCCCTTGGCCTCTCCACCTCCACCCCACTCGGCTACCAGCCTTTGTCCCTGGTCCTGCTCCGCCAGAACAAAAGGCTCTCAGCAGTTTAGGGTGCATGCCACTGTTTCTAGAATACCCCAGCCAGACCTTCCTTCTCCGTGGGGGTCAAGTGTCTTCCTTGCTAGGACTTTTGCTCCTTGAGTGTGAACCTCTCTGGTGGTAGTGCTCACAGCTCAGTTCTGAGTGACAGGCTCCTGTATAGCCACACCCACTGCCTGTGGGTCTTAGCTCTGAGAATCCAGGTCTCTGGAGAAAAGCTATTTGCTTCCTATCGTGTTGTTCTTGACCAGAGTTCTTGTATTTTCCGGTGGTCATCAGTCAGCTGCCCCAACCCCTGCAACCCAGGTCAGTGTGGCCTCTTGGGAATTTTCTGGAATGGGCATCACTGGGTGACTTTTTTTGTGGAGGAGGGACCCCTCCCTGCCTTTCAGCCCTGGTTACAAGGCCAGAATCCTCCCCACCCCAGATACCACTATAGAGGCCTCAGTTGCTGTGTCTCCTGGGTTGAACTTCTGTGACTCTATAGAAATTCAGAAATTAAATTACATCTGGTTGTACACGGAGTGCGATAGAGACCTGGCCTGTGTGGGGAGACCCAGGGGTGGACAGGGTCCCCAGGTGCTATGCTGGGTGCGGGTGAGGGTATGGGGTGCATTCTCACCCAGGATGCCCTCTTAAATGCGACCGCCCCAGCTTCCCTTGGTGGCCCTGGGTGGCTCACTCAGCCACAGGTTGACATCTGCTTCTGCCCAGCAGTTACTGCTTCTCCGCCCACTGCCCCGCCCACCCAGGCCCACTCCGAGGGCCCAGCCCTCCTCTTTCATCATCACCGCTAGCGGAAGTGTGCCAAGCCCTGAGTCAGTTCTGAGACTAAGGACTTAGAGGCTCTAATTAGGGGGTGACTAGGAAAGAGACATCCAGTTGTCACCCAGGAAGTGGAAACTGAAGATTCCAGGGATCCCATAAGGCCCCTCCTATGCCTTATGCTGGGGATGGGAGAGGATTTAGGAGCCATCTAGAAGTCTGAAGGAGGAAGGGTGGAGGGAGGAAGGTTTCCAGGTGGGGGACCACCTGGTTTCTGGTCATGCTGAGGGGCGGGGCACTGTAAAGTGACACCTCAAAACATGCAGGTGCACACAGCCATATACCACACAGCACGTGTGTGTGCATTCCACATACCTCGCAGTGCACCCTGTAGCTGAGGGTAACCGCAGGGTTCAAACACATTTAATATGTTCAGGTAAACCTCTGTTTTGGTCTATCAGGTAATGCCTGGAGAGTCACCCGGTCTGGGCCTGCCTGTCAGTAGCAAAGGCTTCCTCCGGCAGCAGGTCCAAAGGCACATGGAAGGACCCCGCTGTTCTTCCCGCTAGTCTGAGGTCTCGCCTCACCCAGCGCCCTGCTGCCCCGAGCCTCAGTGTGCCTTCTCCTCCCTCTACTCCTCAGTAGCCCCAGAGCTAGGACTGTTCAGAGGGCACACTGCAGTGCTGCACAGCTCACCGTGGCAGGCCGAGGAGTCCTGAGAGCGAGGGACGCAGAGCCTCTGGCTCATAGGGCCCCGCCCTGGTCAGGCTGGACCCGTGGCTCAGTAGGTCACACCTGGCCCCAGCATAGCACATGTCGACCTGGCTCAGGGCCCTGCCACAGATCACTGTGGGTCAGTAAGCAGGCTTTCCAAAGGTAGTGTGGGCGCATTAAACGCTAGACGTGTTCTGCGAACCACTGACCGCTGGTGCGGTTCCCTTTGAAGAATGGGTAGTTGTTAGAAGCACAGCAGTCCTTTACCCACTGAAGGTCACAATGTGGCTTCTGTGATAGCCATCTGGCCTTCAGTTCTGTTGGTACGTGCCTGGGCAGCACTCCAGCAGAAGTCAGTTCAGTGTTCCCTGGTGGCGTTGCTTCTTCCCGAGCACCCTGCTTCCTCGGGAACATCCACGTACCCAGGAAACCCATGTGCCCACTTGCCCCTGTGTGTTCTGGGCCAGAGCTCCAGTTCCCAGTGAAGCCCGCTTTTGTCAAGGGCTCTAGACATGACCAAGGGTTTGGGTGGCCCCATCCTGGTCTTAGGGAGCAGCAGGCATGCTTCACCCCCACCGAGTGCCTCTATTGAACCACAAGGTTGCAGTCCTCTCCCAGCACCGGACACACCTGACTTGCTCTGGACATGAGTCCAGTTGTCCTCTATGTCCCGTGCCCCTGCGTAGCGTGATGATTCATGTCACAGTGGCAGGTGTCAAGTCTAAAAGCCTGGTTGGTTCATGGTGCTATTGATCTATAATGTGTGACGTGAACAGAGTAGAAACCACTTCCCCCTCATCCCTGAAGATGAGGGTTGCATATACTCCTGTAGGAGGCTCCTTGGCACACCCTACCCCACCCAGGTTCATCAGAGTTCCTATGGGATGGGGACCTCTTGGCTTCAGGGATAGCTGCTTTACCTGTGGCCCAGGCCAGTGCAGGGTGAGAGGACTGGTGTCCTGCCACTGCAGAGGAGGGTGCAGCAGAGGTAAACAGGATAGAGGGATATGGGCCTGGCTGCCGCTGGGGTCCAGCTACCTCATGCTGCACAGTTGAAAGTGATAGTTAGGACCCGACAGGTGGACAGAGACTGAGTAAGAGCAGAGCCCAAGGAGGCTGTGAGGCCCAGTGGTCACTGTAATAGTGTGCACCGAGCTGGGGACAGGAAGCCAGGGAGACCATTCACTGGGACCCAGCATGAGGAGGACGGGGCATCACTCAGCTGTAGCCTCATGTGCTGCTGGGTAAATAGATGTGCTGGTGTATTCTTATTAGTAAACTATTCTTAAGGATGAAAGAAGACACTTAAAATGAACAGGAAGGAGAGTTGCTTGGTTTTGAGACACTACTTACCTATTAAAAAACAGAGTGTGCCCATGTGCTTACTGGGCCTCGTCCTAACCACCCCTCCAGCCTCTGGGGCCCCAGGAGCCAGAAAAGCCCGCATGTCCCCACAGTTTCATTCCTGGAGTGGCTCTGCGGGCTTTCCTACTCGTCAATTCTCACCTCATCTCTCCTGTTTAAGGTCCGAGGAGCAGCCAGCACAGCCTCAGCAGCCGCCAAAGGGACAGAGCCAGGCCAGCAATGGCGCAGGCACAGGTAGGCCCCTGGAAAGGCTTGGTTCTCCGCCAGGGCTGAGCCCCTCCCATGCGGGAATCTCCTGCAGGAACTGGGTTAGTGTCTCTCGCTGTGAGCTGATGAATCATCACACAGACTCAAGTCACTCCAAACGTGACCTCGTTTTCTCACACAAGCGTGACGTGTTGTCTAGTTCGGACTGGCCCACTGAGAGGTACCGAGCGTCACACTGGTTACTCCACATTGACTTGGTGGCCTGTTCCCTGACACTGGTCATTCCCGGGGGGGTACTGAGTGGATTGTGCTGGGCCATGGCAGGGTGTACCCCAGGCCCCAAGGTCCCAAGGTGAGGAACAAGCCCTTAGAAAAGGCTCCCCTTGCCTGCCTTCTGCCCCAAATGCCTATCTTTCCTCTTGCCCCATACTTTGCTTTCTAAACTTGCCCTTCAAGGCCTGGAGAGACGGCTCAGCAGTTAAAAGCACTGGCTGCTTTTGCAGAGGACCTGGGTTTGATTCCTAGAACCACATGATGGCTAACAACTATCTGTTACACCAGTTCCAGGGATCTGATGCCCTCTTCTGACCTCCATGGGCACTGCATGACACGGATGCACTTAACACACATGCTGGCAATACACTCACACACAAGAAATGAAAATAATAAAATATTTTTTAAAAGACACTGAAGTTGTCCTTCAAATGCTGAGAGGAGCCCCATTCTCTGTGTAGTCTTGTGGGCCCTGGCCTGCACCCTCAGAGGCAGTGTCCCTCCTGCAGGATGACCACTCACAAGGCCTTCCCTGTGCCAGTGAGCCTGGAGTGAACTGTGGCTTAGGTCACTGTCTTTGGGCTGCTTGCCATCAGAAGGAGGCCCAGGAGCAGGGGCTCTGCTAAGGATCCCCCAGTTCCATGCTTCACTGCACCAGCTGGCTGCTAGCCCCGGTGTTGGTTTGGTTGCTGTATGCCCTGGGCGGTAGCTCCTTGTGCCGTCACGATCCCTGACCAGTTGCCAGTCCTTAGCCTGTGGATCTTGGTCACTAAGGTATATGCCCTGGGCGGTAGCTCCTTGTGCCGTCACGATCCCTGACCAGTTGCCACACTCAGAGTCCTTAGCCTGTGGATCTTGGTCACTAAGGTTTGAACAGCCTAAGAGAACTCCAGACCCTTAGTGCTTGCTGATAGGATTGGAGAAATGTGGGGCACAAAGACCCTAGCTCCGTGGTCCTTCATGGGGCTGTGGATCCCTCGTGCTTGTGTCATGGTCAAGCCTAATCTTGATTACCGCAGTCTCCAGGTGTGGTGGCTGTGTGGGGAAAGAAGATGCTGCCACACCACATGCTCGGACCCATCGCAAGGCATCAGGTGTGCCCTGGTGTCACGATGATGAGCTTAAGGCCTTTCTGATCCTAGAGCTAGCCCTGAGGAGTCTGCCAGAAAGCTCCCCTGCCTCCCCTCCCCCCCAGTTTTGGAAGTGAAGCAGGGGCCTCAGCCTGGTGGGTAGGCTTCAGGACGGGGTGAAGACTGTCCCATTCAGGCAGCTGGCCACATTCCCTGGATATGGAGCCAGCAAACCACACTCTGTCTGGGTTTTTGTTTCCATTTATTTATTTTTTATTTTTTATTTTTATTTCATGTGTATGAGTGTATTGCCTGCATGTAGGTAAGTGCACCCATGTCCTGCATTGCCCTTGGAGAACAGAAGAGACTGTTGGATCTCCTGGAACTGGAGTTAACGGACAGTTAACTCTCCAGCCCCTTAAGTTTTTATTTTTAATTATGTGTTTATGTCTATGTGTGAGTATGTGCACATGAGTGCAGGTACTGTGGAAGCTGGAGAAGCCAGATCCCCCAGGAGCTGGAGTTAACAGGGAATTGTGAGCCGCTGGACATAGTTACTAGAAACTGAACTCAGGTATTCTGGAAGAGCAGTACGTACTCCTAACAACT